TGCTTATGACTCAAGTCAGGTTACTTGTTGATGTGATTGTTTGTTTATTTATTTATTTAAATCAAGAACAAGAGATTAAAGTATTACAAAAACAAAAAAAGACAAAGACAAATATACCAGACAAAGCTCGCTCCCTTTTTTAGTCAGAAAGGGTAATTCCTACAAATATTTCCACTCCCTGGGCATCTTTACTCAGCTCTAATTATACATTTAGAATACTGAGGCTCTTCAAACATGGACTCAGTTATTCTGCACTAATAGCACCTCAATGACTTTAGCACCTGAGTCTGTCTGTCCAGTAATCAGATGGTTCCTTTTCCAAATCTACTTCTTTGGATAAAAATCACAAGTTGCTTCACAAGAACATTAAAAAAACATTAAACAAGACACTGAGATCAAATTAACAGCTTTTAATGTTACTGGTGTGATTTATATGACTACAATGTGAATAACGTGTTGAATCCTGATTTGAAGAAAATTGTGAACCAAATGGCTTCTCTTTAAATATACATTAATAAATAAATGAATATCAAGTCAGTCTAACAGTGGGATAAATGCAACAAAATAATTAAAAGTACACATTTGATGTATTTCTGGTTGTTTTATGAAATAAACTGAAACTGGTTTGTTGCATAACAGGACAGAATGGCACTGTTATTATGCCATTATTATTATGGCACTAAGTTCACATTTTCTTCCAAAGAATTCCTCAAGATCTGGCTTCAAACATAAAAACACTGCAGCGAGGGAAGACGGCTTGCTCTTGCATATAATAGTCTATCGTAGAAAAACTTTTCCAGCCAATCATCAGAGGTGAGAAAGGTGGGACCTTCCTTGGACATCCTACAATTCCAAATCACATTTCCAGGAAAATGATTGTTTGGGGAGTAAAAGGTGAGAACTGCTATCTCTCCTGTGTCCTGCCGACTGCATTCTGCGATTATTTACTGTTGGTGTAGATATAGTGTACCTTAGAAACATCTGACACAAGATCTGGTAAGATAAAGAGCTGGCATGGTGTTCCAGTGAAGAATGATATGATATGATATGATATGATATGATATGATATGATATGATATGATATGATGTGATGTGATGTGATGTGATGTGATATGTGATGTGATGTGTGATATGTGATATGTGATATGTGATGTGATGTGATGTGATATGATGTGATATGTGATGTGATGTGTGATATGTGATATGTGATATGTAATGTGATGTGATGTGATGTGGTATGAAATGATATGATATGATATGATATGATATGATATGATATGATGTGATGTGATGTGATGTGATATGTGATGTGATGTGTGATATGTGATATGTGATATGTGATGTGATGTGATGTGATATGATATGATATGATATGATGTGATGTGATATGTGATGTGATGTGTGATATGTGATGTGATGTGATGTGATGTGATGTGATGTGGTATGAAATGATACGATATGATATGATATGATATGATATGATATGATATGATGTGATGTGATGTGATGTGATATGTGATGTGATGTGTGATATGTGATAAGTGATATGTGATGTGATGTGATGTGATATGATATGATATGATATGATATGATATGATATGATATGATATGATATGATGTGATGTGATATGTGATGTGATGTGTGATATGTGATATGTGATGTGATGTGATGTGATGTGATGTGATGTGATGTGGTATGAAATGATACGATATGATATGATATGATATGATATGATATGATGTGATGTGATGTGATGTGATTTGTGATATGTGATGTGATGTGTGATATGTGATATGTGATGTGATGTGATATGTGATGTGATGTGATGTGACATGACGTGATCCAGTACAAGATGTTACGTCACATTAAATACCTCAAGCTTGTGTAAAAACACACTCACAATACATCAGGTTCTGGTTGACAACAGCCATGTTAAAACAAATAATCCAACTGCAAATAAAACCAGAATCCATTCTGATAGAGATCCTGTGTGACAGCGCCAGATCAGGTCCAGTGGTGTAAAACCATTACCTCAGATCTTATATTAAAGGGGACACAATAGGAAAAACTCTTTCTGCTTCATTTTGTGTTGCTACATGGGTCTCTACCACCTCTATAAACACTTCAAACATGAATAAAAATCATTCATCCATTTAATCTCAGATTTTGGTTTCAGGACACATACTTCCCCATGAGCTGTTTCAAAAACTCCCTTATCGTGATGTCACATTAGCATTGACCCCCCTCTTTATTAGGGAGCTGTTCGTTTGGTACATGGAGAAACAGCGGCTCTACTCCGAGCCCCACCCGAAAATGTGAGATCAATTCCATTCAAATCATTTCAGTTCAATAATTCAAGTCAATTCATTTCAATTCAATTCCAATTCTCTTTATGGTCAAGACACACTCAGAAAGGGGCATTTCTTCATGTCCTCGGTGCAATTTAACAGCAAAATAGAACAAAAATATTTGTGTAAAGCATGTATATGGCCTGTATTTGATATAGTGCCTTCTAGAGTCCTGGAACCCCCCAACACACTATACAACACAATCAGTCAGTCATTCACCCATTCATACACATATTCACACCCTGGTGGTGATGAGCTACAATGTAGCCACAGCTGCCCTGGGGTGCACTGACAGAGGCAAGTCTGCTAGGCACAGGTGCCACCGGTCCCTCCGACCACCACCAACAGGCAAAGGGGGTTAAGTGTCTTGCTCAAGAACACAACGACAGTGGGGCTCGAGCCTGCAACCTTCCTGTTATGGGCCAGCACTTAAGTCCTGTGACACTGTCGCCCCATAATGTAAATAAAATGTAAGTAAAAGAGAGCGGGTAGTTGAAAAAGAGTCACACACGGCAGTCCTTATAGTGATAAAAGTGTAAACTACAACAGATGGTCTCAGTGGTGTGTTTTCTCATTTAAGCTTTTGTTATTGTTTAGGGTTAATGGTGAAAACATCTCTAAAACTGGGGTCTCGTTTATCAAGCTCGCTTACGAACAAAACGGGGTCGGAAAACTGCGTGAGCAACTTTCCACGCAAACTTTGGGATTTACAAATGAAAACGTAGCTGAAAAATGTGTGCAACTTTAAGTTGACTAAGGGCCTGGCTTACTCACATGTTGGACATAGAGAGCACCTGCGGTGCTGCTGCTGCTGAGAAGGATACAATTATGAAATCCTGCTGTATTATCACTTGTACTGCTTCGTTTTCACACAGAACAAGACCCCCCACACGCACACACACGCACACACACACACACACACACACACACACACACACACACACACACACACACACACACACACACACACACACACACACACACAGCCTGTTATAGGTCACAAGCCTACTTGGCGTAAGTACATTTTTTTTTTGCTGAGCTTAAGTTTGGTTTTAGTAACGATTCTACGCAATGTTTTATAAATGAGACCCCTGATCATTACCTTATGAATGAATATTCTACCTGCAGGAAGGGAAGAAGCAGCCAGGTAGTATGTCATCACCGCCGTGTATTACTTTCTTTTATTTACACGTTAGAGGGAAAAATCGACCAGGAGCGTGGGCCACTGTAAAACCAACTCGGCATCTGTGATCAGCTCCACAAGACATCATCAACGAGTCACACTGTTAAGACATATTTCAGTTTTTGGTGTGCAAATAATAAAAAAAAAAAACAGTAATCATGTTTTTCTTTTACTGTGTGTCTCACATGAGGTTTTCACTTTCATCAACAGGTTAAAATTATGTTTCTTTTTAGACGTTGTAGGCTGCAAACATGTTTCAAGACCAGAAGACCTTTTGTCTCTCATTACTCACCCATTCTTTATGTCTTGGTGAGAAACATATAAGAACACTTGACTTCCTTCTACAACACACCTTCAGTTTCAGGGAGTCAGACTTCAGATCTGTCGACACAGCGCTGAGAAAACCTGTGCTTCCTTTTCCTCCTGATATAATCTTGCTCCAAATGATTTGAAGCCAAAGGGCTGAGGCAGTACAAGGCTAGTCCTGAAGAAGGATCAGAGGCTCTCCTGGTGTTGAAACTGTTCCAGTTGCAGGTGGGATTTCCTCTTTGTAGAACCAGGCTGGAACAATTCCAAATCCATGTCACATCTCTGTGAGCTCTTGGTCAAATCAGTGCTTTTCTTTACACAAGCGTGCGCAAACAACCCTTGGGTTCATATAACCATTTAAACACGAAGATACAGCAAAACATATGATGCAAATATCCTTTGGTTGTTTATAAATAAGTAATTACCTGTTGTAGCAGCAAGTGTTACACAACAGTAAAGTGCAGAGTAGAGCAGAGCCTGCCTCCCTTTCAGTCACACTAGTCGATGTGAGCATGTGCTGCGTGACTCTTAGAAAGCTGTGTGTGCTCTTTCAAAGTAGAAACATGTGTTATTAATGCAGAGAATCTGTGTCACATCTCGGATGTTATTACATTTCTTACAGACACATAGACATATATGCATGGTTTCAGGGCAAACATGGAAGCTGAACACTCTCATTTGCGCTGAGGGTCCTACTTACAGAGGTCTTTGAGATGATGGGGAGGAGAGCGGGTGTTCACAAGAGCAGAACCTGCAGGGGACTAATGGAAACTCTTTCTGTTGCAATCCCATCTGAGTAATGATAGGCTTTGCCATTTTCTTTTTCCAGTAAAGCAGCATGCCACACAAACAGTCAACAACAGGACTGGCCACCTCCATCACTGCTGCTCCCCATCTGTCCTCCACCACCGCCGTCATGCATGCATTCTGACTCGACTGTTCGGACGGAGGTTAGGCTTCACCACAGAGATAAACACAGACCCAGTGATGTAAACAGAAAATACACTGTTAGACTGGGGAGTGAGGAAAGCCCTCAACATGCAGGAACTTTGTTTACCTCCAAACAATCAATCAAAAACAGTGGGAAGTCCGTTGGAACCGCCCAACAAGCAACACACCAAATTTTAACCAAAGGAAACCCAATGCAAGTGGCACTTACCATAGAGAATGGTCACCATGGAAACGGGCATGACCAAGATGCCTAGGAGCATATCAGCCACTGCCAGTGACATCAGAAAATAGTTAGTTGCATTTTGCAGCTTTTTCTCTAGAGAAACGGCCAGGATCACCAGGATATTTCCCATGACCGTGACGGCAACGACGGCCAGGATCAGCAGGGCCGCCCAGTTCTTCTCCACCGGCGGCTCGAAGCCAGCACACTGAGGCCCGAAGTGTCCTCCCAGGCTGCTGTGTGACTGAGTGTTAACGACAGCGTGGGCCACGTCGCTCTCGTGACATCCAGAGTTTGTTGCATTACCGGGTCGATTTGAAGGCCTGGGGTTAGACTCCGAGGTGGTAACGGTCCTGATGGTGTTGAAGATCAGCTCTGACACGTTAGCTCCACGTAAGTTCATGGTGTCGGCTCACAACCTCGGGATGTCTGCCAGATTCACCAGTAGGAGGGAGGAAAGGAAATTCTCATTTTAGATTCTTTTTTCCAGAAAAATAAAACAAATATTCCAGAGGCGTACAACATGTCTGTCATTTAATCCAGCGCCTCAAATGTCTCGTGTGATCAGCAGATGATTCTCCAAAGGAAAACTAGAATAGGAAGAATTATAAGGATAATAATACAGATAGAAAAGTGCTCCGGTTACTAAAAAAATATCCAAATGTTGATCTGATCGTGACTGACGTCTGCAAGAAAAGAAACGACTCTTCTGATTCTGGGATTTGTTTGAGAGCTGAAAGATGTCAGTCACGGTTTCCTGATCCTGGAAGTCTGGGCTTTTCAAACCGTCACCCATGGTAAAACAATGATGTCCATGTGAAAGGTCAGGAATCCAGATCCCGCTTCCAGCAGCTTCCCGGTGAGGTGATTTCTTTACATGTTTGCGTTACAGAAGTCCTGATAAAGTATACTTCAGTAATGCCTTTACAGGTGTAGGTCCGAGGTGTGTGCTGTTAGACGAGCAGGTGAACTCTGGGGCGTCCTTACCCTCTCATATCAACTTATGTCGACACCTGTGAGTGTGTGTGAGGATGACGGTGATGGATGGCGAGCGTGATCAAACTTGACACACGTTTGTCCATGTGTCACTAACGTTGCCATCCTTTGTCCCCTCACACACTTCCTGTGGACCAAACCCTCCAGAGGTGATACATGTTCTAGTTTGTCTTCCTCCTGCTGACATTCAGTCTGTGGTGGAAAATGTCAGCCACTCTTCAGCCGAGTCTTCCAAAGATCCGAGTGTTCTGTCATTCTTTCACATGGTGTGTACCTCCAGGTCTTGACTTTTCAAAAATCAAAGAAAAACAGGAATGAGGAACGAGAGAAGAGCCCTCTCTTCTCTGGGACCGATCAGCAGACTGAAGAGGTTTCCAGTTCTTCACAAGTGTCAGCTTGTTAGTCGTCTTTAGCGGTGACCAGGAGCTGAAGCTTCTCCGCTTTGCCTCTCGTCACGCTGCTTTTCACAGGCAGCCTCTCTTCCTCTCTGTGGGGATCTCCTGCTCTCTCTCACTCTGTTTCTACTCAAGGTCTCTCTCCCTTCTATCGTATTGGCTGGCTCTCTCTCTCTCTCTTTCTGTCAAGTCTCTCTTGCTCTCGCTCTCATTCTGTAAATCTCATCGCTCCGTTCAAATTTAGATCTGAAGGCTTCACTGGGATTATCAGATCTAAATACACAATGACTAAAGCTGTTTGTAAATCCTGACTCTTGAAATTCTAGTAAAAAAATCCCTTTTAGTCATGAAATGAGATGAAGACGACTCAGCTGCCCCAATGAGGCAAGAGACTTGAGCATTTGCATGTTTTAAGCAAGCAGTGGTCCCTGGTGAGACTGTTTAAGGTTTCTCTCAAAGCTGACTGGTGACTAAACGTCACTTTAGAAGGAAACTTATCCCAGTCTTCCGTCCAAGCCAGCTGTGGGAACTAAAATGGTAAATGGCCTGTATTCGTGTAGCACCTTCTTAGGGTTCTACAACCCCCAAGGTGCTTCACAATACAATCATCCATCACACACACATTCACATGCTGGTGATGATGAGCTACAACGTAGCCACAGCTGCCCTGGGGCGCACTGACAGAAGTGGGACGGTCGTACACAGGTGCCACCGGTCCCTCCAAACTCCACCAGCAGGTTAAGTGTCTTGCCCAAGGACACAACAGCAGCATTCTCAGGTGGGAGCTGGGATGGAACCTGCTGGACAACCCACTCTACCTACTGAGCTACTAAGTGGGTTTGTTCTGTGAATCACTCATGTTTCTAATCTTTTCATGACATTTAAGTTGCATTCAGGGTAAGAAGGTTTGTCTCTTCTTTGTTGTAAATGTGCAGTGGTGTCTGGACATGGATCCAGTCCCAGAAACAGCTCAGCATTCCGAGTTTTCCCTCCAGGAACAGAAGGAGACGTTTCTGATTGTTGAGAGATTTCAGTTAACCCTTCAAAGGGCACTCGTTGATAGGTTAAAATCTCAGCCGCAGGGTGTTATTGTGGTTTATAATGTAATGATTTAAATGACATGTTATTTAATAAGCCATAAGGCGTAGAATTCCATAGGAAATATGAAATCCACCTTACGGATCTGTGAGGTTATTTTTAACCAGAAGATTGAAACTTTTTAATGCAGAGATTAGATAACAGCTTCGTATTCACTCAGAGAATACAGAGGAGAGAGTCGAGTTTAAAAGTTAAGAATTTTATTACTTACAATGAAAACTAGACTAACTTTAAACACTACATGTATGGTGTAACTAAGGTGGATGTGACGGTGAATGGGGTGATGTGGAATGTTGTTCAGAACCAGCAAATCCGAAGAAGCGATTAGTTCTCATGGGAACTGAAGGTGATGTCTTTGCGTTAAGCTTTGGTTGGGAGATTCATAAACACATTCAACGCCATTTGCCGGTCTACTTACCCTGGTGGAAGTCCCCGTCTCGATCAGGAATGTCGAGGTCCAGCTTGACCTTTTCTGGAACCGAGCTGGTAGGAAAAGCAGCGGTTGCCGATCAGTCCAGTCTGTGAGATACTTCCGGGTCACGACAATTTGTTGGCGTCTGGTGAGACCCGAGCTTGGGTCTTGATGGTTCAGCTTTTATTCTGAAAGGAACCGTTGCAGCAGGTGGAACAGCAACAGATTTTATCCAGCTTGTCGTTGGTTCTTTCGGCTGAAGAGGAGAGTTACGGATTGGCCACTCCGTCAACTATTCTAGAACGCTTTGAACTGGCGTTAAAGATAACGTGGGCATAGTTTTATACTTCGGATGTTTTGGTTTATGGTCGAATGAAAAGTTGACAGATTTACCAAACACCATCAAAATCATGCCTCCGTCAAATCTGGCAGATTCTGATTGGATCAGTAAAGCAATATGTCGTCTCTTAACGCTACGTGAGATCAGTCTTAGTGGAAAAATTTAAAGTCATATTACTTATTATATTCTATAGGATTATTATAAAGTAACTAATATTTTGATTTCACAAGATTGGTCACATCTTATTTATTAACTAACACTTTGTTTGATTATCTTTATTAAAAATAGAGTTCTTTGATTTATTAAAAGGAGAGAGTCCTTCCTTCATTCTTCTGTTGAGCTGGAAAGAAGCAGTTTTATAGCAAATGCATGAGACCTTGAGACCATATCTCATGCAGACTAGTTCTGTGTCAGAGGAGAGGAGGAAAACAGTCATTTCATTCTGTTACAACAACAAACTTATTCTGCTGTTGGTTCAATTCAAAAAAATGTTTATTTTCTTCAGAAAATCAGAGAAAACAATGTTATCAAATATGGACGTTGGCCCTGTTCTGGTAAAATAAACCCCGAAATAAATATCATGAACAAGTTAAACATTATATATATATGTATATATATATATATATATATATATATATATATATATATATATATATATATATATATATATATATATAAGACATCACAAAAATAGATTCTTATCATCTAAAGAACATTGCCACAGTCCGCCCTTTTCTCTCTCGGGTCAATACAGAGGTGCTGCTGCATGCCTTTATCACCAGTAGACTACTGTAATGCCCTGCTTTCTTGTCTTCCCAAAAAGAGCATCTCAGGTTCACAACTTCTAGAAAATTTGGCGGCTCATCTGGACTTAGCCAAATATATTCTTTTACTGATGTGGTTGTGCATGTACATGTACAAGTTATGCAATGGCGTTGCTGGGAGACAAATTACAGCCAGCTGATGGTTGCTCTGACATACTTATGCTTTTTTAACTTTAACCTACAAGGTAGGTTTTTTTGTACATCTCTTTTACTAAATCCTCTTTGAAAGAAAGTTCCAACACCTTTAGTTGTCTCTGCGGCTCATTATAATCACTACACGTATCACAAATACATAAACCAGTGTCAAGCAGTGATGGGAAACAGGTTTCATTTAATTCAGATCTCCACATCTTCATCACGCCTAATTAAATATGCAGAAATCAGTTTCACACAGCAGCCCTGCAGAAGGAAGGTTGACATCTAGTTTTATCAACTTAGGTGTCAAAACAGTCGGTGCAGGCGTGTGGTTGTTGCACTCCCAAAACTCTGCTGTTAGATTGTTGCTTCACACTCCTCAGCCGTTACTGGATCTGAGTGTTTGGTGAGGTGGGAATGTAAAAACACACTAGCCTTGGGCTTAAGGGAGCTAAATGTCCATGTCCAGGATAACAGCCAGCATGCCAGTGTGCACATAGAAGTTCCCTGACACTTTGTGTGGATGGCAGCGAGCAGCAGTCCTGTACGTGAGCCTGGTTGTTTCTGCACTCTAAACCTGCTCCTGAACCCCAGAACGCCCAATAAACCAGTCTCATGATCATTTCCATCTTTATTTGACTAAATCCTCTCTTGAGAGAAGGGTTCCTGCAGCAGCAGCAGTAAATCACCAGGTGAAGATGTGCTCGGTGTTGTTGCTAGGTGCTGCTTTAGTTTCCTTTTTCCTGAGGGGGGAAGAAAAGCTGTTATCCTCTCCAGAACAGCTTCAGTCATCAGGCTGTTTGTTGAAGCAGGAGCTGTTCAAATAAAATCACAATGAAAATTATAATGGTTTCTCCATCCGAGGCTGTCTGCCTCATTTTCTGACTCACGCACACTTAATGGATGTTCTGTGTTCTCTGATAGCTGTCATCTCTCTCCTCGTTGTGCGTTCAGTGACGCTAAAGAGGAATACTGAACGAGCCTTTCTAATAAACACAAATTGTGTGTATTCTTCATTTTCTTAGTAGTCTAATGGACTCTTTCCAGCTGTCATTATGTGAGGTAAAACATCACACTGATTTGATGCTTTTGTTATGCTTTGCGTTAGTTCCAGACTGATATTCATGATTTGTTTTTTGTTTATTAAAGTTTATTTTCATTTATTCACAATTAAAAAGAAAACACAAAACCGGTTTACGACAACAAAAATGAAAAAGGAACAGAAAGAAGCTAAACTAATGTTATCTGTTCCCCTTAACCAAAATGAACACAAATGACAACAAAGTTATTATAGTTAAAAAAAACTGTCTGACCTGGTTTACTGACTAAGCTTTGGCAAAAAATGGAGAGAAAACAAACATGTACACAAACATTTTTTATTATATATTTTTTTCTTCTTATATTAATGAAAGGAGGAAACAAATAATGCAAAATAAAACACACAAAAAAATAATAGCTAAAGAAACAAAGTAGAACATACAGTGTGTGTTTTCCCTTTCATTCTCTCTACTTCATAAATACGCCTACCTCATAGCATCATATAAGCTAAGCATTTCATTTTTGACATGTTTATTAAAGATATATATTGTTTTGGTGTTCTTGATTTCGGTACTTTATTGATTCCACATTTTGACTCCATATATTGATACACAACGTTCCTTTATATTGATCCTATGTTTTGGTATTGTGTATATTTTGTTGCCTTTCAAATCATAACTACTCTTTCTTTCCATAAATCTTAGGATCAAATTTGTTGGAAAGTGCTTTTTGTCGACTTTATTCATAAATTTCGAAATAGTATAATCTACTAGGTCGTAAAATTTTAATGTTTTTAATTTGATAAATAATTGGCTGGATGGATCTCTGTAATTGCTTCTTGTTATAATTCTTATTGCTTTTTTTGTCAGACAAAAACTGAATGTGTATAGGTTTTTTATGTTATTCCCCAAATTTCAACACAGTAGTTCAAGTACGGAATGATCAATGAATTGTATAATAAATATAGGGATTTGTCATCTAGAGACCATTTCACTCTGTGTAATATTGCGATTGATTTAGCTATTTTAGTTTTGATATTGTTTATATGTGGTTTCCAAGATAAATTCTCATCAATGATGACTCCCAAAAAACTTGAACTTCCTTTACTTGTCTAATACAGATTTCAAACCAAATCAATCAATCAAAGATACTTTATTAATCCCAGAGGGAAATTAGAGTTTCAGTACACACAATTCAGAGATCAGACATACATGGACAAGACACACAACAAGAATTGGTGACTGTGGTCATTCGCAACCCTGAGTCGTGCTACCTTAATAGGGATAAGAGGGTTACATGAG